TAAATAATGCATATACGAATTACAGATTGAATTTCAAAACTTTAAGACCATAGTGCTCAGTTCATTTGCTGATAAGAATTTTGTGAATTTCCGAACTTAAGTTTTGGAGTGTTTACTTAAATAACAGAGCCGCCTCCGAGTTAAGGTGCGACTGCAAAAAAAAAAAAGGCTACCGTGATTGGCCTTAAGGCAATACACTAAATCGACTAGTAAAAACTCACAGTAGTTGAAGCTAGTAGCAAAGTGATGATTCATGATGTTTTCCAGTGCATCTCCTTACGTCCGCCCTCGTGGATCAACACACTGTCATGAATCAAGGAAATTCAAGCGCTGTAAAAGGCAGTACTTTAATTGAGCTGATAGCATTATGCTTCGCGCGATAAATCGGGGATAATTAAATATTGGTATTGGTTGGCTGCTAAATGTGGGGCCCGGGCGGTTGTTGTGACTGTATTTCGTGGGCCTTGGGTTTTTGGAAGCCCCGGGGTTGAAATTTGCTTTGGGTTTGGGAGCCCGGTGCGTTGGCGTTGTGATTCCTTTTAGGCTCTAGATATAGGGGGAGTGGTGTTATACCGATTACCTGTTGGTAAGGGACAGTTGCCACGTCCTCCGTTGGCTTATCGCTTGCTTTATGGCCACGCTCCACAATGAAGTTTACGCCAAAGTGATGGCCAAAGAAGAGTGCAGAGACAAGGGACCAAGGACCGTAAGGCGAATGACGCATCCAACTTCTCGCTGTTTCGATACTGAGCGCACTATTTATAATGATACCTCTCTCAATGGATCATTGGTCATGGACCGTACCCCAAAGTACGTCATTAACGAAATCTTTCAGGACTGAAAAATATGCGTTTGTGGCAATCCGGGTGATTCCACACCATTATTTATTTACATGCCAATACAGCAGAACCACATATCCGCCATCCACAGCAACAGGAACAGACTTCCAACGTTCCTGATAAAGCACTGGAAAATCCACAATAGTATTAAAACCATAATTGACATACTCCACGTCACGGTGGAACTGTGTGCACCTAACTGTAATAAGTGCTCTTCTCTGTGGCAAAACGCCAAACTTTCAATGGGGGTGCCTTTCTAGTCATGCAATAGATTATCGTAAATTAGCAATGATTTAGCACCTAGATGATACGACCATAGTTTATGCACATCAAAAAATCACATAAATGGAAGTGGTGAACTCTATGGTATGTTGACTTCTGATAGCATTGAACCTTTTCATAATGACAATGAAAATGTGACCCATCTATGAACTGTTCCACTGTCCAAAAAATCCCATTAATATCACAATAACGTAGCCAAGTAATGATGTTAATGTTTTTACATTCAGTTCTCTTTGTTATTGTTTATTCGTGTACATATATGATATTTATAGTTATATGTCACCATCAGCTTAATGTATGATTGTAATGTCATTGTACTCGAGAAACTGTATCTTTCGGCCCACAAGTTCTTTAGCCTAATTGATAACGTTTCACTTAACACGATGTGGGGCGTAAAGTACGCCGTGGAAAGTTCTTCAAGAGGTTATCGTGAAGAAGCGACACCAGTTCTGCCAATGGCGAGTGTTGGTATACCACACTTAGTCCTGTCTGTCTGCTTTCCATATTGCAGATTTCTTTGCTGTGATGAAAAAAGCGGTGGCCCTCTAAATGAATGGCTTTTGACCTAAGTCTGCGCCAAACCAAGATTGTTGCTGTTAATGTTTAGATTAAATGTAGTCTATTTTCTGTATTTATAAAACGATTAATAAAAGCTGCACAATATAACAAAATATTTATTTAGTAGCCCATAGGGGCTATAATTCGTTTTGGCAGTTGGGTGGTTCAGTATAATGTCGCTTCCTTAATTTTGCCACCAATATAGACCATGTCTCTTTAAACAAATTAAATAAGGAAATCTGCATAAATTATGAATGTTCTCGCAGTATAAAAAAAACCGAACTAGAGCCATACATTAGATAGACCGAAATCGGATTGAGACCGAATATCTAATCAGACCCGATCTAAACGTCTAGACCCGAATATCGGCATCTGGAAGTCCGAATTTGGAATTAGAAATTTCTTTTATGATTGATTTCATATTTTGTAACACTTTAACGAATTTTTGATTAACAAACTCAAAGATTTCAAAGCTAGCAATGGCAACACTGTACGAAAAAAAGACATTTTTATCTCCAGCGCGCGAGAGTGTGTATCGGAATTTCTAAAGATATGCACATTTTAAAATTATTTCGCGACATTGCTCTTGAACTGAATTTTATGGTTTAAGTGCTAAGAACATGATATTTAACAAATAAAGCAACACACAATACGTTAAATATATATGCCCCCTTTGGGCGTAATGTAAAATCTGAAGGCTTTCAGATTTTATTTTTTGAAAGTTTTATTTTTAATCAAAGTTATCATTGTTATTATGTGATTATTATTCTACATTTCGCTTTATATCATAACTGTGTTATAATATATTAGAAAGCCCGCCGGTCATACGAAATGACCGCTGTTCTGGATGTTATAAATTGTAATTAAAATGATTTGTGCAAAGGTGTCTGCTAATTTCAACTGAATTACCCAGGGCACCCCTTTGCTTACTGCCCCACGGGGTTTCCCCCTTCTACTTGCTTAATTGCTTAAAGTGGAGTGCAATGAAGGAAATCACTGGTGGTACATTTCTTAAGAGCCACCACTAGCTCAGTAAATAAAGGTGATTTAAATAATGAAATGTTAATTCATATGTGAAAGATCTCTTTGTACGCAACATTTCTTGTGTAAATCTTTCCATCAATTTTAAGCTCGTCTTGCAGAGGACCATCCATTATTTTTAATTTTACGTCCGTTCTTTCACGAACTCTTGAAGAGGCAACATAAAGTTGACCGTGTCCAAATGCAGGCTCAGGTAAAAAAAATGCCAACACGTTTATGCGTTTGGCCCTGAGACTTATCGATGGTCATAGCAAAGGTAAGTTTTACAAGAAATTGTCCATGTCTAAATTGAAATGGCAACCCTGAGCCTTGGCAACTTCACCCACATTCGCTAGTACAGTTACGCAAGCAACCCATAAACTATCGGCGAGAAACATACACTTAAGCCGCATAGATATATGGGGTGAATTAACATCATCTCCTCTGAAACGGCTGGCTCCCGGGCTTAGCGAAGCACACCGTAGGATTCCGCAGGTCCGTGGCACGCTATTTTGACCATTCGCGTGTTCTTGGGATTTTAGTTAGCCGAGATATTAATTAAGAACTAATTTTCCCCTACTTTTTCCCTACATTTTCGACTTTCTCTCTTGGATTTTTCCCTATTAGAGGGATTTGGCTACGTGCCAAATTCTTTTTTCTCGAATATCTACGGAAAGGCGCCGAGTTGAAATTCGAGACGCGTTTTCTCGGATTCGAAAAAATTCTCCGAATCCATCGATGCCGTTTTCATCTTCGTACGGCTTTAATCGGACGAGATATTAATTAAAAACTACAGAAACGTTAATTTCTGCGCTCATTTTCCCGAGTGGCAACAATAAACTATCGGTGACACACACTTTAGCCGCATATATATATAAAGATTTTCAGCTGTTTATCATTGCTCGTAAATAATTAAGTGTAAGAGAGCGTGAACATATTTTGATCCAAACCTGGTAATGCTCATGATACTCAAAAATTAACGTTTGTCTTAGCAAACATTAAAGTTAATTGCGTAAATATTTGTCTCTTTTATCATTTGCGAAAACATTATATTTTATGTGTTATATGGTTTTGTGACTCTTATGACGTATGTTTTTTAGTAAGCACATTTAAAGTTGCGAATGTAAGCATAGATCTTTCGGAAGAAGTTTTACCTATTAAGTCTCAGATGCCGCCCAACCGGTATAGTGGTTAGCGTTGCTGACTACCGTGCCGAAGGGTCCGGGTTCGAATCCCGGAGAAGGCATGGATGTTTGTATATGTTACTAAAAATTTGTAAAACGTTGTTGTTAATTTCAATATTAACCCTCACGAATTGGAGGAAACGGCGTTCGCCAAAGTCCTCATCATCTTTCTTCTTGTCTAAAAGGCAAGATTGATACTGTGATACTGATACTGATACTGAAGTCTCAGATCAAACAATGAAAGTGTTTCCGACATTAATGGATGACAGCTTAAGTGGAAGTACGTTTTCTCAGCTTAGAAACAAAAGCGTAATTCCGAATGGATTACTTTTGATGGAATACAGCTTTTATCCTGGAGGATTTTCGGTAACAAAATACTCGGTTACCACAGAAAAGAGAAAATAACTTAGAAGCAACATTAGTTATTCCCCATTAAATGAGACGTAAAAATTTTTAGTAATGGAAAAACGAAGTGATGATAATACAGGATAATCATGAAAGAATAACGTATAAATATTAATAAAATTATTATTATTTGTATATTAATATAATTATTATTATTTCTATATTAATAAAATTATATTATTTGTATTTTTTAAATTTTTCTTTGTTGCCCTAAGTAGGAATTAATTTTAATTTTTTTTTATTACTTGTTAGACTTTCATTCATTACTGTAGGATTTTTATAACTCAGCTGCAGTCACGTACTAAGGCTGTTCTCTCATTTTTTACGATTTTGCTTTGTTATAAAAAAACGCCTGCTTGAAAACAAAATGTCTTCAACTGAAGCTGTATTTTTAGAAGTATAAATTAATATTTACTGCTTGACAGTTTTATTTTTATGCAAAATGGCTCACTTAAAGAAGCAATAGGCGGTTTGGCGATATCTCGCCAAATTAGCGAGATGTTAAATAGACTTGCTCCTGTATTCTTGTTTTTCCGGCAGAACATCTTCTCTTTCAAGCATTTCACGTTACGTAATACAAAAAATACTACAATTTTACATATGATTTCACTAAATTTATTTTCGTATGTACAAAATCTTAACAATATGCATATTTTTTTTCATTTAAATTAAGAGTTTTTATGTTAGTTTATTTTTGTTCTTTGTAGATCGATTTCACGCAATGAGTTGCAAAGTGTGAAAATGACGTACTGGGTTGGTCTTCGGAAGCTTAAGAGTTTGTAAGTATTACTTCTTAATTCTCCTTTCTTAGAGAGGGCCCACCAGCGGCCGAGCGGTAAAGTCGCTGAACACTGGTAGTTCGGTCCGAGGTTCGAATCCCGCAAACGGGCTGCATGGGTGCTTTCGTGGTTTTCCCCATGTGTAACGTTCAAATTTCCCTTAGAAAGCCCTCCACGAAGGCATCCCTTCCTTAGGCAGATAGCCCCAGTGTGCTTTGCCATAATTAAATACACACACATACACACACACACACTTTCTTAGAGAAATTCTAACCAGCGACGTGTCGCTAATTTTTAATTTCCATGATTGTTGATTAAAAAAGTGGCTTCTATAGATTTGATTTCGTCTGCGTATGTATGTTTGTTAATACAAAACAATTAAGATTGCCCGTTTATAAAAGAAATAAAATTTTAATATAAAAATATATAGTTGATGGCAGTGCAAATTATGATTTACAGGTTTATACAGAATGCCGAAACATAAGCTCATTGCCTTTATATTTCCTTTTGCGGCATAGGATTTTGATTATAAAACTCTAATTACGTCTTATCTTTAATTAAATGATGATCTTATGTAATTTATATTTTGATAATGATAATATTGGCGGCGTTAAACAATTAAACCACGAATGAATAAAGTACTTGATAGGTTTCCTAATACCTTCTTTTGTTTCTTACAAAGTTCTCATTTTCCTTTTATAAATTTCAACATACATTCATACATTTTTCAAGTAAAATCGGAAATTTCTCATTCATTGGGTTTTCTTAAAATGGACACACAGTATTCTCTGGTAAAATCCTAGTGTATGGTACGGCCTTGGCGCGATTTTAAAATTTGTCACCAACATCAAAATGACGCGTTTATTGCTCATTATGAACAAAAAATATCGCTATCAAGACTAAATCCGAATGTCGCCAAATCCCAATTGTACGGATTTTTAGCACTATTCGCGAAAGAAGACTGAGATTTACCCTATGGACAACCTGCCTTTCTCAGTCCGATCACCATGACCCTCGTTAAACCGTCTGTCTGCTGTAACTGTCTTCGTTGACGGCATTCTGTGCGTAATGTGAAGCAAGAACAAAGTTTCTACGATGGTTTCCCTAGAAGAAATAATGGTACGAAAATTAAACATTCTGAAGTTTCCTTATGTCTTCTTAAACGTACACTGGAGAGATGCGCATTTCACATCATTCGCATAACTCGGTGAAATGTGTCTGTTCTGAAAGTTTCATAATTTTTGGGCCACTCCTTCTTGGTGTTGCAGTTTCAATGTCGGGTAGTGCATAAATGGTTACATGCTGGACAAAAATTAGAAACATTGGATTAAAATTTGAGACAAAAGTGAAAAATAATTATTTTTTGATGCCTTTTATGTTTAAAGGATTCCAAGTTTAAAATTATTTTTTAGCATTCATTTTAAGGATATCAGTTTCTTAGTTTAGAGAAAAAGGTCTATTTTCTCCTTTTGAAATAAAACAGTTTTCTTGGTTATTTCTGTATTTCAAGACTCAGAAACAAAACTATAAACCTAACGGTCCTTGATCTCATCATTATGCCGAAGGACAATTATGTATAATAAAACTAATTTATAATTTTTTTTTGCCACATGAATTTGTAATATTTTTTAACTTAAAATTATATGTACTAACTTAAAACTTTATGAGATATTTATGAGATGTTTGCGGCAAATATGTAACTTATGACAGCATAAAATCATTTTCTTCATTGATAATTTTTCATTTTAGATCCTTATCCCAAAATTTCATCACAAAACTTGACACAACGTCCTTTGGAAATATCAGCACACTGCACAAATTGTAAGTATTGTGAGTTTGATATTGTGTTTTCAACTACCGGTACGTTTTAAAATGAAATAGCAGTATAATAGTCCACTTTGTGTCACAGACTTTGTACTGTTAAGTTAAAAAACTTACAATGCAAAAACATACTTACAATGCATGTATCTTCACATTTAGTTTGAATTTTTCTGAATAACATCAGATTATATCTCTGAGGATTTAAATCTTTCAGTTTTAGAGTTTTAGGATACTATTGCATTGCAAATAGTTTGTCAGGATTTATTTATACAGCACAACTAACTATAGCAGGTAAACGTATTGAACATCATAATGCAGATGCTTCATTATTGATTCATACTATTTTAATGATTCAATGCATTTCAACTGACATCCGAAGGTACAAGTACATTTTTCTATCTTGATACTTCGGATAAATCTGATAAGCAATTTATTATCTTAAAAGGAGCTAAATTATCCGATGTAATTTATAATACAAAACTGAATGAAGATTTTAATGAAGGATTTTTTTAAGATGGTTTATTAGGATAAACAGCAATGTTTTCATATAATAACAGACGTTTTTTGTAAACAGATGTTGATTTCATCTGTTTACAACAACAACAAAAAAAAAGTCTGTTATTATGATGTTAATGAACGTCTGTTTCCAAGAGTAGACTATATATGTTGCTTACTCATTTCACACTTTTTACGACATTTTAAAACTCCCTCAAAACTCTGTAATTTTAAATTCTTGAATTTTTAATGTTTTTAATCTTTTTCTGTGCCGTAATTTCATATTTTTAAGATTACCCTAAAATGTTATGTTTAAAACAAAGTTTGAAATTAGGCTATTTCTTATAAACATTTTAATTTTTTTCGTATTTTTGTATTCTCACATAAATTTTTGTATCGTAAACTATTGAGTTTTGAGGGTCTCTTAAAATGTCATAAAAAGGGGAAATGTTTATTAGTAATCAGCATATGTAGTCCACTGTAGGAAATAAACGTATTCATAAAAGAAGTCTGTGTCCCAAAGTGGACTACATAGGAAAAATGGTTGAAATAATAGTATTTGATTGTACGCTAACTTATTTGATTTTAAGGGAAAACGCAATTCTAAATTTATGTAAACGGGTTTTTGAATAATTTGTCTTCCTTTAATTTTACAAGATTTATATATATACGTAATGTTTTTTAATGCATAGAAGAAGACACTGGCACTTTTAGCAGCTTTCAATATCCGTCATTGCTGATGGTTAAGGGATACCGATGAAGATAACAAAACTGGATTTTATAAAACCACCAATCTTTATTTTCACACATATCCAATTAGTTTGGCCGACACTTATTCAATCATAATAGACATTGGTTTTTTTACAGAAATGACGTAGGCAGATAAGTAAGCGTAGCAGCTAAGCATCTTCCCAAGAGGAAAGCTTAAGGGAAAGTGGACGCCGCAGTTCAAAGGAAGAAGGGAGGGAGACAAAGGTTTCAGTTCCGATTTGGAAAAGTTTTTGTTTGCAATTATTTTGATTGGACAAGAGGTATCTGCATTAAGTGTTAGGTAACATGAAAAGATCTCGCACTTGCAAGAACAGATGAATTTAGGGGTCGAGCATAAAATCTAGAATTGTTAATTTTAAAGTCGCCAATTATTCTTAAAGCAGCCATCGTATTTTATTATATCATACACTTACACACACACACACACACACACACACACATATATATAGAGAGAGAGAGAAAGAGAGAGAGAAGAACTGACGAAAACTCATGAAGTTATTGTTAAACTAGGATTTATTTATTTACATTAGAATGAAAAGAAAAGTAAAAATAATAATCGTCAAAACATTTTGGAGAAACGTCTGTCCTTACCATCGTTCAGCTCTCATCTGACCGCGCCCTCATCTAAATGGCGCTTTTACATAATTTTACGTAGTTACAGTTACATTTTCCACACATATGAATATAATAGATGCCATAAATATTGTATATTATTGGCGTAATATTTTTGTTAACTTTCAAAAGTAAGTAATTGGTCTTGTTTCAGTTAAGTTTAACTTTACCTTCATATTTATACTATAATGTATCACCAAACTTTATACATTATACTTCATACATTATTATTATTCATACTTCATATATTCATGTTATTATACATACTTTTTTTCAGAGACCTGCATGCAAATAAAATAAGAGTAATTGACGCAGATGCATTTTTTGGGCTGTCTAATTTGGAATCGCTGTAAGTTCTTTAATTTGTGCATATCATTAATGTGTGAACACGAGTTTCACCGAAATATATATATAATTTTGCGACCGCGTAAGATAATAATCAAGAAACCTGTTACTGTTTGTTTTCAGTTACGTAACAATGTTTCGTAAGTGCACATCTGCATCGCTACCGAGGGAGTAGCTTCTAAAATGGACCAATGGTCCTTTCAGTAATATTTCTGTCATTTTACATGACCTTTAAGCAAGATGCATGAAAATGTTTTGCCGCGCAATTTCGTGTACAAAATAATTGTGGATTTCTTGTGAAACTTTTCAGAGCGATGTTAGATCAAATACAACCGGAATTATATATATATAATGAATAGTAGAAGTTACACCATATTTTACTGCACTCTATGTGAAAAAGGTGTTCTATAAAAATAACAGACAATGCGCAGTTTTATTCAAAGTGAAGTTACTACACATTTACTGAGTTAAATTTCACACGAATAACTATTCACTCTTAAATGTATTGCCTGCACAAGAAATACTCGGCCCACCAGCGGCCGAGCGGTAAAGTCGCTGAACACTGGTAGTTCAGTCCGAGGTCCGAATCCCGCGAACGGGCTGGCTGCATTGGTGTTTTCGTGGTTTTCCCCATGTGTAACGTGTATACGAGCCAGTTTCCCTTAGAAAGTCCTCCACGAAAGGCATCCCTCCCCTTTGGCAGATAGCTCTAGTGTGCTTTGCCGTAATTAAATACACCACACCACACCAAGAAATACTCTCCAAACAGAATGAATTTATCTTATTCAGAACGAATATATTTAATTTATACCCTACGTTCCCTAAGTTTTAAATAACTTTTAGTGCTAACAATAGGTATAATCACATCATTCACAATATGTATTTTGAATTCTTAAACTTTCAAAATCAAAGGAATGCATGCACTGAGTTAAGTAAATACTAGATTCCAATGTAACTCTTCAAGTTATTCCTAGCTCAATAAAACATTATGCACTCGAACTCTCTTAATTCACTGATTTTAGTTAAATGCATAATATTCGAGACTAACTGTAGCTTAAGTCATTTTCTCGATATAAAGAGCGAAAATTTGCCAACAACATTAATCTGAATATCAGTGCGTGAGAAGATTCGCGAAAGTGAAATGTTGACGATTAAATAAACTTATAGCAGTAATTAAACGCCTTCCATTTATAATTGTGAAATAAATGCAAAGTAAAACTTAAGCAACAACATGCGCTCATGCGCACAGTTTCAAAGATTTAGCGTCACAAGAGCAATAGAAGCTCAATGATCCATTTTTGAAACCCCTCCCTTAGTGGCGATACTGATGTGCACTTGTGAATTACGCTGTCCGTTATACGGATGGTGCAAAGAATATTTTTTTTACTATTATTATGGATTTTCAAGTAAATACGTTTAACATAAATTTTCGAAACCTGGTAAGATTGATGCAGATCGTAATCTGGAAAGGAATGAAGTAACATTGAACATACAAATGTTAATTTATAAGTATGAAATGCTTAATATTTCAACTTATTGCTGTTATTAATAGTAGTAATTTTACTTAAAAACCTTGAAAATTCAAAGAACACCGAATAAAAGATAGATGATTCTGCAATAATTTACAGATTTTTACATCTTCCAATACTTTTAACCTATGAAGCAGTTCTGATAAAAAGTAATTTCATTGTTCTTTGAAGTGCTAATATGTGCAATTAACTGAAATATAAAATGTGATTTAATAATGCATCATAGGAAAATTGTTTTTGAAGTTGCAGTTTAACTTGACAAAATATCGTACATCAGAGTGGAATAACAGTTAGAAAGATTATAAGATATTTTTAAAAAATGAACAAAATTGATAATTTACTGAAGAGTGCTCTAGTGCTAAGAGTTCGTTGTCCTAGATGCAAATATATCTTGGGAATTTATCCTGTAGTTTTCCATTTAAGTGTTTCTTTTTTCATCACTTATATTTATGCTTTAAACCAGCTGATTTAGTAAATGTAAGATTCCTTCGAGGAATTTAAATATTCAACACATTAATGAATATAAATTAATTAACTGTATTCAAATCAGTCACTCTAAGGTGTTTAAAGTGGAATAATATTTCTTAAAATACTTGAGTATGCAAAAATTTAATTTTAGTTCAGTTTGTTTTTCGTTCTTTTTTTTCTCTTAGTATCTGATTAGTTGTAATGGATTATATTCTTACTCATTTAATTATCCTTTTCAGAAACTTCAAAATGAATGAGTTGAAAAAGACAACCAAAGCGGTTTTTGAGCCCTTGGTCTCCCTGGAGTATATGTAAGGATCACACCTTTTTTTTTCAATAATCACCTTTAAACAAAATATGTCTAACAATTATACTGAAATTCAAAATGTGAATGAAAGGATTTAATATTTTTCCTTTATCCTCTTGTTTTTCAAGCTGTTTTTCTGAAGGTAATAAATACAGTTACAGGAAATTTTTTCTATAACTATAATGCATATTTTTCTATAACAATTTTTAAACTATTTTGCTTTTTATTCACGTGAGCTCGTTAATTAATAGATACTATTTGATGTTCATTTAGAGAACTACTGGGTTTATTTTATTATTCCGCTTTCCTGTAAATTTGTTATTGCTTATTTTCAGGTCATCAATTTATTTTAGTACAAAATTATTTTACATATATGAATATACAATTTATGCTGCGAGTTTTTTTTTTTTTCTTCTAAAGTAGTCCAAAGGGGCAATTTGCCAGGAAGGACTATTAGTTTCGTTTTGTCATTTTGCGTTGATTCACGATAAAAGTTGTTTCAGTTTTCAAATTGTTGCCAACTAATATTATCGCCCTGTATTATATTTAAAGAAATTAAATAAATAACAATCTGCATGAATTTATGTATGTTTCTCACATTGTGATAAAACAAAGGTACCTAGAGCCATCAAAATTTGAATCACGAATTTCCTAAAATGGGCATGTTAAGTTGCTGAATGTTTATTACTATTTCATTTTTAAAAAAAACAATTCAAAATAAATTAAAAAAAAAAAACGAAACAGTGCAAGTATCAGGTTCAATGTTCCTTCTAACCTTCTTCGGGAACATCAAGGACCTGACTCGGAACAGAGAGCTTACTAAAGCTATGTTCAAAAAACTGTGGGAAGTAGACAGGATACACAAGAAGGGTATACAAAACCCTTTATTTTTCTCTATTTACAATAACTTCCGTACTTCGGAATACATGACCCCGCTACTTGGGGTCTAAACGTAAAAGTATAAAAAATAAAACTAAACTCTAATTTAACTTTAAAATAATACACGTGGAAGATTGGCCTTATATTAACAGGAAGCGTATGTAGTACAGAGAACTGTGAACACTACAATACGTTTAAAATTTATCAAGAGGATTAAAACCTCTGGCCTGGAAGGCAAACAGCAACTGCGTAAAACTTCTAAGGTAAGCGGCCTGCTTCGACTCACTGCTTCTCTCTCTCGCTTGGCAAAAAGCCACAACTTAAATACTTGGCGTTCGCCAGACAAACTTTGCATAAAAAACCTTAACGCTTATAATTCTGGCCGGAAGTAGAAAATAAGAAGTGATAGTAAAGATTTAAAATAAAATAAACGTTAGTAAAACTTAAGATCCTTACATACTTCCCGCCAGAGTTAATTAGCTTGAAACTGAGGTCTAAAACGACCTTGTTGAAAACTTTTAGCTCTAGAATCTAACGCGAGGCCAATATTTTACAAACATTTTTCGCTAGAAACTAGAAATTTAAAAGAAAGAAATATGTTTTTTACAACAGCAGCTCCCAGGATACAAATTTTTTTTTCATCTGTACTGCATCTAAACAGGAGCTTTTATTCAATTCTGGTTCCTTCCAGAGATCTGGAAGGAAAACTAGTTTAATGAAATGTTACACAATGAAATGGCAAGTAACATGTATATTTATATTTCTCTTAACATTCTTATTTCATTCATGACTATTTTAATTATCTCTCCCCGTGCTCTCTGACATGTGTTGTAAAAGAACACCAAACACGAATGTGTTTCTGTCTACGTGTTCCACACTTCCTCCTACAATCAAAACACTAACGTGTTAAAATTCAACATAACAAGACCTCTTAACACACCCTAATTTCAACTCTAAACCCTGAGGTACTATTCTGAAAGTGGCTAACTCTAAAGTGTAGCGTCAGAGAGCCTAACTACATCATTCAACCTTTAACACATATTCGCCATGATTTAGTTTCTTTTACAGTCACACGAATAAAAAAAATTTTAACATTACTTTCACTTTTACCATATCACGGTATTTCTTAACATTTAAAATAACAGTTCACATTGTATATAAGAACATATTAACATGCCGTTAATTTTACACATTTGAAAAAACATACATTAGTAGTACATTGTTAACTTCTATTCTTTTCAAAGCAAGTGCCAATTCTTTCTACATTGAAATACTACATTTCAAAAAGTCTTTCAGACTAAAACTTCTTTCTTGCTAGAATGTTTTAAATAAAATTTATACAATAACTTTTTACAATATTTAAGTCTTTACACAACTATTAACGCTATTATACATCAACTTTAGTTTTACGCGCGAGTAATTGAAAAACATAATACCAAAATCGGTAACAACTCATTTCTCGCCCTTTTGGCGATAAAGGTAGACCTCGCATGAGGTAAAACTTCTTGAAATCTGCCACTTGCAGTAAGAATGAAAGATTAACTTAAGTTTGCAAAGTAACATAAAATTTTACTTATCTTTGTGTAATATTCGGACATCCTTTTCTGGGCCCAGTCTTTAAAGGTATGCAGATAGTAGTTTGATTTATCCTCCTTCTTGTACGGGCTCGCCCTTCAGTGCCTTCCTCTGGAAGCTTCCTTTTTTTCACCAGTTCGGTCACCCTTGAATACCTTCTTCTCCTCTGCTTGTGGTCTTGGCCGTTTGATGGCAGCTGGTCTTGGCGGAACCGGGAAACTTCTGTCGTGTTCCTGCTTGGACCTCGTTGCTGGCCGTTCAAATTTTCCTTGTAACTTTTCCTCCGCCGCTGATGGCCCTTCCGCAGTTCGGCGACATTTGCTGCGGAGAGTCCTGTCGGATGAGTAGATCTTCCGTTTTAGAGCCGGGTTATAGTTGCCGTCATTTCTCCTGGTTCTCTTCACATACGTCGTCCTTCTCCCTTCTTCATTCTGGGGGTGTTCGTGAACTCTCTTTTCTGGACGGTGGAACGGCTTCTTTTTCTTGTTACCTTCAATTTTTCCGCGGGGAAATTTTCTTTTCACTTGCTCCTGCCTCTTAATGGCTTGCCCTTGTACTTGTCGTTTTCCACCTCTGGAACTTGTGCCTGCGGTGTCTGCCGTGCCGGATCCTGCAAAAGATCTGAAAAGATTTGCATTTTATTACGATCGAAGTAGGGTTTTTGATTTGATCAATGTTTGCGGAAGCAGGTTTCACCATTTCTGGCTTTTAACACTACTACAGCGTGAGTTATTTTTTCTATAACATATGGTCCTTCAAATCGTGGAAAAAATTTGGCAGTTTTATCTTCTGGTGCTGAAGAAAGTGAATGCTTAATTTTTTAAAACTTCATCCCCTACTTTATAAGTTACTCCCCGTCGTTTCAAATCATAATAGAGCTTTGTTTTCTTTGTGCTACTTCCCGTATTCTTTTTGCTTCTTTAATTAGTTTTTCTATATCACCCATTTTAAATTCTGGGGCTCTTTGTTGCACATAAAATAATTTATCTAACGGCGTTATAATCTTTCTGCCTAGAAATAACTCAGCAGGAGTTTTGCCCGTTGTATCATGTTTTGCGGTCCTAAGGGCGAAAGCAAATTCATTGACATAGTTATCCCAGCTTTTATGAAAATTTTTAACATAACTACGGATAATTTTCACTATATTTCTATTGACCCGTTCCGCTATATTTGATTGCGGCCGATACGGGACCATTTTTAAATGACGTATGCCCAGTTTTTGGCACATGTCTTCAAATATATTACTTACAAATTGAGGACCATTATCCGATATAACTTTTAGGGGCGCCCCGTATTTTAAAATATATTTATTTAAAATAGAATCAGTAACTAATTTCGCGGAGGCTCGTTTTAAGGGAACAATTTCGGTCCATTTACTAAAATGATCAACCATAACAAGGAGATAGCGACTTTTATTTAACTGACTTTTTGGGAAAGGGCCCAATAAATCGATGCCAATTATTTCATTTGGAAATTCGGATTTAATACTATTTAGAAACCCGGCCGGGCGGAAATTAATATAATTAACTGCTTGACATGTTGGGCAGGACTGGACATACGCCCTTGTTAACTTTTGCAGTTCAGGAAAGTAGACTGCCTCGCGTACGCGTTGGATAGTTTTTCGAATACCAGCATGAGAAGCTAAAGGGCTGTCATGGAGCTCCTGCAGGATATTTAATCTAAGACTAGCTGGGATAACAGGTCGAAATTCGTTGTTGGAATTCGTAGTTTTTGTATAGAATAATAGACCATCTATTAGTTCGTAATGGGCCGCCCTATTTCTTATCGCCACAATATCTTGGTGGCTAAAATTTTCAGGATCCTTCAAATACTCATAAATGCTTCCAAACTCAGGATCCTTACCCAGTTCGGTTATTACAGTTTCTCGGGAATTTATTGTACATGCTGTGAGCATTGCCACCTTTACGGTATTACCTTGTTCGTCTATTTTAATTCTTGGATAGGGCATCTGCTACGATATTTTCCTTTCCGGGGGTATGCTTGATTACCAGATTATATTCTTGCAGCTTGAGTGCCCATCTTATTAACCTTGGGGATAAATTTTTCCCTGAGTACAATCTAGTTACCGCCGCATGATCAGAGTACACTGTTATCGGCGCCTTTCCAAAATAGACTCGGAACTTTTGCACTGCTAACAGAACTGCAAGTGCCTCTCTCTCGGTCGCGGAATAGTTTCTTTGTGTTTGATTTAAAGTTCGGCTAAAAAATGCCACGGGCTGCTGATTTTGCGAAAGTACCGCTCCTACCGCATAATCCGAAGCATCCGCTGAAATTTCTAAATTCTCATCCTTTTCAGGAAATTTCAACACAGGGGCTTGCGTTAATGCTTGTTTTAATTTTTCGAAAGCACTATTGGCTTCGGCCGTCCACGAGAATCTTGCCTTTTTCCTTTTTAATTTTAACAATGGCTCAGCGATAGCCTGCAAAATCTTTTATAAAGGACCTATAATATGAACAAAGTCCTAGAAAAGAAGAGAGCTTCTTTGCCGTGTTTGGAGTCGGATACTTTTGTACAGCGATTATTTTTGATTCGTCTGTCTCGATTCCTTTTGAGATATTTTGTAACCTAAATATTTTAATTCAGGGGCTGCAAATTTGCACTTTTCGACATTAACTTTTAGACCGGCCTCATTTAATAAAGAAAACACCTGTCTTAAATCCTGTACATGTTGGTCGAGATTATCACTAGTAATAATGATATCGTCTAAATAGATAAATGTGGACTTTCCAAGAACAGGTCTTAACACAATGTCCATGCATCGCTGAAATGTTGCCGGGGCCCCTGAAAGGCCAAACGGCATACGCAAAAATGCATAAGTGCCAGACTTGGTTATAAAAGCAGTCTTAGGCACGTCCTCAGGCCTAACCCCTATTTGAAAATAACCAGTCGTTAAGTCTAAAGTCGTCATAAATTTGGTTGATTTTATGTTCCTTAGAATTTCTTCAATAATCGGTAACGGATATACCGGATATTTAGTTATGGAGTTTAATTTACGGTAATCAATAGCGAATCTCCACCTTTTTGGATGTGTCAAAGGATAGTCATTATTTTTCTTACATAAAACCACCGGGCTAGCATAACTACTTGAGATGGGCGTTATGATCTTTTTACGTAGCATATCGGTAATATGCCATTCTATAATTTTTTCCTTATTCTTATCATACCGGTATGGTTTTTGGCGAACTGGCATTGCATCTCCGGGTGTCAATACTATGGTTAGTAACCTGAGTAAATCCTGGAATATCACTAAATAACGAAGCAAATTCACTTACCACTTGTCGGATTCTTCCTTGCTCGTCATTAGGCAGGTGGTCAAGATTTAACATCGGCGGTTCAGCCTTTTCTACACGAACTGGTTTCATTGTCAGCTTAAGGGACGCTTCATTAAAATCCAGAGTGTTGCTTGTGCGTCTGAAAGAAAATCTATTCCTAAGATAATAAATGTGCTTGCAGATTCTTTACTATAAAAAACATCACCTTTACTTGTTCGTCCTTGATACGGACATATAGCGGTACTTTACCTATGCACTTACATTTTCTCCTTGCGCCGCTAACACTGTCGTATTATCCGAATTATATATGCGGTATTTGCGAAAATACTTCCTAAAAAAAATCTTCTGCCACACAGGAACACTGCGCGCCTGTATCCAGGAGTGCGGTGGCTGGGATATTATTCACCAACACTTCAATCTTCGGAAGAGTCAAATTTTTCACCATTACTGTATTTAACTTGTAGGAAGAGGGGTTTTCGTGGCCTTCGGATTTCCGCACCCTCTCGTCAGCAGAAATCCGTTTTAGTTTAAATTATTTTTCATTTCCGTGCTTTCCTTCTTTTTCCACTGGCCTTGAGACTTTTTTCCTGGGTTGCTATTGAACTGTCGACGTTCGCCGGCTGTTTTTGAATGCTCGGGTTTCCTTGCCCACTGATTCGCTTTGCCTCCGTAGCCGTGTGCTTGAGTTTGCTGTAGTCTTGGCGTACCAAATTGGTTTCGCTGTTGATATTGGCGTCTTCTTTCGACGTCCGCCGTTCTTCTACTTTCAAACTGGATTGCTAGCTCAAATAACTTTTCCAGTGTAGTCGGATTTCTTAATTCAATAAAGTCTTGCACTTGGGGCAGTAACCTCGGCAAAATCACTTGAATTATTTCAGGATCCGGACGGTTTCCATACAAGAGCTTGAAAGACGTGAATTTTTCTTAAAATAAAGCTTGAGAGGTTTTCGATTCTTTGTTGATATATACTGAAAAGTTCCGTTTCTAATTTCGCACGATCCCTTACAACAGGGAAGGCTTTTAGTAGGGCAGTCTTGAAATTTTCGTAAGTATAGGTGGGACTTCCTGCTTGACCCAAGAGACTTCTGCCTATACATTTGAACCAGTTAAGCGCTTGGCCCCTCAAAGCGCTGGTAGCTAAGGTAACTTTTTGAAACTCGTGCACGGGGTAGAGCATGAAGTGGTCATCCAATTTTTCCAAAAAACTGGTTACCGGTGAGTTTCCATTAAATGTTGCTTCTGGTTTCATCGAAGCGCGCATGGTCTGGACGATGTAACCAAATCCTTCCAGGGCGGCAGCTGGCATTTCTGGATTCTGAGCCGTTTCTGCAGGCAGCACAGGTTCTTCTTGAAACTCGGCCATGGTTATTCTTCTTCGTTGGGCGCCACTATCAGGTTCAATGTTCCTTCTTAACCTTCTTCGGGAACATGCAAGGACCTGACTCGGAACAGAGAGCTTACTAAAGCTATGTTCATAACTGTGGGAAGTAGACAGGATACACAAGAAGGGTATACAAAACCCTTTATTTTTCTCTATTTACAATAACTTCCGTACTTCGGAATACAACCGACCCGCTACTTGGGGTCTAACGTAAAAGTATAAAAAAATAAACTAAACTCTAATTTAACTTTAAAATAATAAACGTGGAAGATTGGCCTTATATTAACAGGAAGCGTATGTAGTACAGAGAACTGTGAACACTACAATACGTTTAAATTATCAAGAGGATTAAAACCTCTGGCCTGGAAGGCAAACAGCAACTGCGTAAAACTTCTAAGGTAAGCGGCCTGCTTCGACTCACTGCTTCCTCTCTCTCGCTTGGCAAAAAAAGCCACAACTTAAATACTTGGCGTTCGCCAGACAAACTTTGCATAAAAAAAACCTTAACGCTTATAATTCTGGCCGGAAGTAGAAAATAAGAAGTGATAGTAAAGATTTAAAATAAAATAAACGTTAGTAAACTTAGATCCTTACACTTATCGAATTTAAGGATTTGTCATTTAAAAAATTGCGATACTATGTTGAATTTTTGTTTAAGGGGAACATATATTATAATAAGGTAACACACAAAATGTTAAAAAAAACGCCCCTTTAGACGTAATTTAAAATCTGAAAACTTTCAGATGTTTTTAAATTTTTTAGAATTATTAAACTCGTTCAAAGACAGTGCGGCACTTTCAAATCGACAAGTTTGTCTCGTGGAAAAAGGGAAAATGATTAAAAGCTCATTGTTTCTCCTTGGACAGTAAAAAATTCTTAACAGTTATAATAACATGTTGTCTAAAAAGTATACCAGTTGTTTTAATAAAAAAATTTTGCTAGTATGTTTATAGTTTATTAGAGCGTTTATATATCAACGATGTAATGGAGCACTAACATACAGTTTCTGAAGACAAATATATGAAATAATCGGAAAATGTTCTCATCCTGTCAAAAAGTGAAATTATGTTAGTTATACGTCACTTAAACTGAAAGCTTTGATCACAAACTCATCAGTTTATGAACATTTTACCTAAATAAAAAATTCTCGGATGACAAATGGTGTCTCGAGTTATGAACAATCAGCAAATGATTTTGAGATATGTTTTGAACTGATGTTTGACGCCGAATTTACACTCAGGAACTAGGAAATTGTGTTGCAGGCAGAGAGTTTGAGAGTTTTGATACAAGACAATATTTTGTTTCCCGTTTTATATGATTTTGTGTCTCTAGAGAAAACCATTGCCTTGAATGTTAACCTGAAAACAAGGAAGAGTTACTAGATGGCCAATGCAAATGAATTACAACGAGAAAGAATTAAAACATTTTCAGAAGCAGCCACAAAAGATGATCGTTGAGGAAGTGTTTTAAGAGGAAGAAGAAGGAAGAAAACAGGATTCTAGTTCTTGTACGTGCAAAAATTTCATAAAGTGGGACATATTGCAATTTGTTTTTTGCAAAACAATACCCTGAAGAAGCTACAGCAAGCTGTACGCATGAGCATTTTCAGTGACAATGCCATGCACCATTTCGGAAGCATTTTAAAACGAAGACCGAAACAAATTACAGTACAACTCCGATTATCCGAATCTCTTTCAGAACTTAAGAAAAAAATTAAGACCAAAAAAATTAAGAGTGTGACCACATGCAGTTTCTCATCGTCAAGCGAATGCACCAGTTGGCTGCCCAAACATGGATGAAGACTGTCAAATAGCTTACTTTGACCGAGATGTTTAGCAAGCAGTGACTTTCACCAGTTGTAAGTACTCTACAGTATGCTATATAACATGTCTGTAAAAGTGCTTTCCTTTCATTTTAATTAATTAAAACCACTTTTCTTTAAAAATAGCTTTTTTTTTCTTTCATTTTCAACATACAGTAATTAATTAAAGTGTACCTGTAGACCCATTCTTCGGAAAATATCCACTTATCCGAATTTTTGATTATCCAAATGGGGTCCAGTCCAATTAATTCGGATAATTGGAGTTCTTCTGTACGTCGGACAAATGTCGAGTTAATCGTAACCCCAGTGACTCTCAAGAAGAATCAAATGGTTCTAAAAGGTTAAAAGAAATAAAAAAAGATACTCCTGGATGTTTTCATTGAAGGAAATTCATCATATAAACAGAAAGATCTCTTCCATTTCGATAGGTATTGAAATAGACCTATGCAACAGCAATGGCAGAAAGTTTTTTAACTAAAAGCTTGATATTCTGGAGCATATGACGGGAAACCACAATGCTTTCTGGTTGAAACCTCCTAACATTCCTGACGTGATACGTGATGCTAAAACGTTTTGAAAAATATGTTATTTGGATTCCTGTCTGGTTGAATTTATGCGGAACAAGTATTAAAAGCACCAAAAACATTGTTTTGAAACTGTTCTATGAGTTAGTGCTGTTTAAAAGTTTCACGCAGTGTGTAGATAGGCATCTTCCTGGCTAACTAGATGCGTCAGGGGTCCGTATGTTAAATCTTACATTGTTGCATTAAACTAAACACAACACTATTGAATTTTTTGAGTGAACTTTATATAATGTAATGATATTAAATATTACTTATGTCTCTCTTTACAGCTACTTCGACGACTTTCATTTGTGCTCTTTGGCGCTGCATGTACGAGTCTGTGAGCCCCGTGGAGACGGTATTAGTAGCATTGCCCATTTACTGGACAGCCTAGTGCTGCGGGTCAGCGTATGGCTGGTGGCCGTGGTGGCAGGTTTGGGCAACATCGCTGTCCTGGTAGGTCGCTTCCTCTTCGCTGAGCCCAATGAGGTGCATTCATTCTACATCAAAAACTTGTCACTGGCAGATTTGCTCATGTCTGTCTACTTGTTTATCATCGCCGCGTACGACCTCGTTTTCCGAGGGCAATATATCCACCATGAGACTATGTGGAGACACAGCTGGCAGTGTAACCTTTGCGGATTTCTCTCCACATTAAGTAGCGAGTCTTCGATTCTGATACTCGCTGTCATCACAACGGACAGGTAAGGTTACAGTTAACCTTACTGCCACATTCTTTTCTTCATTAAGATTCGCAAGAGCGGCAGCGTTTATGAGAAATTGCTTAATATTGCTTTTAGAAATTGCTTTATGAGAAATTGCTTAATTAATAAAAATACTAGGTGAGCTGGCAGAAGAACGTAAGTATTTTTCAGAATTCTTAAATTACAAAAATGGGAATATAAGATTCACATTATGCAAATACATAATATTAATTTTATATTCATTTAAAAATTACTGCATAATAATTTTAGAAATGCCTATCAGCCTGATATTGTTCGCTGCCCTTCGTTTCATTTAGCAAGGTGAAATTTATTTAACTCATAAGGGCAAAATGTTAGCTTTTGTATCCCAATACGATGTCCAATAATTACAATTTTGCCATAACATTACTGAGTCATTAGGTTTTTTGAAGCAGGAGGCATGAAAAGGGAGTAATGGGCTCTCCGCCACTCGAACCCTGGACGTCTTAAATGCGAGGCTAGTGTGCTTCCAATTACACCACGAAAATATCCGTAAAGGAGAGAGAAAATACCCTACATACTCCCCCTTTGAAAGGGCGACTGGAGATGGGTAGTCCCATTCCCCAAATCCTGGCAGTGACGAGTTATCATCGACCACCTTTTTGCTCGGCCCCCACTAGTGTCGTTAGGATTTGTTTTTTGAAGAAGGACATAGGAAAAATGAGCGATGGATTCGAACCCTGGACCTTTCGAAATGCGTCAAGTATGCTTCCAATTACACCAGAAAGGCATGCGGAAAGGAGTGAGAAAATAACTTACTATCAGGGCTTAATTTCTAAAATTAGAAGTGCGGGAACCTTATGGAAGACCGTCAGCAAAGAGGAACAAAAGTAAATAAATAAATAAAATGACTATTAAAATCATTAACAAGTTAAAATTGAAATATTTATTATTTAATCATTATTTAATTCATATTTATCAACTATTATTTAATTGCTAATAATTATTTAATTAAATAAAAAATTAATTGATTATTAGTTATTTAAATAATTAAATGTTAAGGTAATTAAATAAAATGTAAAGATATAAACTAAAATTTAATAAGAGATTTTTAATATAGTTTTGTTGCAAAAAAAAAAATAAAATTTTCCGAGATAAAATTTCTATTGAAATTTTTGTTCTGTTATATAAAAAAAAATTGCCGGAGCCTTCTTATTTAGGGCTCCGGTGGGCTCAGCCTAGAATTACGATTTATTTCGAAAACTAAGAAGTAAAGGAGCCGCGCAATTTAATCTCCGCTTACGACATCAATAAGATCTTATGAAAATACGAAAATGTTAATACTTTGTACACTGATTTATTTCTAGAATATTTCTGAAAAATTCAAAGCGTCTTACACTTTTAAATTCTAAGAAAACTACCAATAAAAAGGATGCTTGATGATTTAGAGTTATCATAACTATCGAAAGAAGAAACCATTACAGGATAAAAAATTTTCTCACTGCATTTTTATATATTATAGTAATGTGTTTTTGAGTGGCTTTTATTTCTTGTGTATAGTTGCTGCAGGTGATGTTATTTGCAGGTTAATTATGAATGAATATTTTATTAAATTTGTGTAAGTGTAGTGAAAAAAGTTATGAATGAAATATACTTTCGTATGACATCGGCCACCGCTTAGGTCTTAAGTGCTACTGTGTGCAAGAAGAAAACCTTACGCATGTTAAAATGAATCGATTACGTTTGCTTATTTTTGCGGTTAACCGTGGCTGTCTTTTTAATAAAAAATATATGAATTGGCCATTAGATAGCAATATATTGTACTGTCATGGTTACCTTAAACACCAAGTGAGTTTCGGTAATAAAAATTACGAAGCTAAATTTATAGTAGCTAGTAATATGTAATATTTAAAGCGTTGTTTTGCGTGAGAAAGATCAGTAGTCAATTTTAAAAAATGAGTCAAAATGGAGGGATTTTTATGACAGAAAAAAAAGTATTCAGTTTGATAGTTAAATTTAAAATAATAGGTCCACAAATATTTTATTTTTATGTCGTACACAATCTTGATAAGATTTATTCGATTTTCACCAGTTTGAACCTGTATTCTAAAAGGCAGATGCTAATCTGTAGAAAATTGAATGGCTTAAATCATGAAAAGTCCAAATATTGAAGTAAATAGTATTCAAATATTATTTCATGTAAAATTTTATGTAAAAGATGCATGTGCTGCAGTTTCTCGAACACGAATCAAACTCTATTGAAATAGAACAGCATTTATTACACTGCAATTAATAAACAGTTAAGCGTGATTAATGTCAAAGTAAGTCAGTAAGTGATAAAGTAAGTCATCAAAACTAGAATCTGAGAACGAGGAGTTAGAACCGTGGAATACTTCTACATTTCTTGTTCCCAACAGCCCAAACTTTTTATCCATGTTCAGATATCTCGAATTACCAATTAGCGAATAGCAGAATCGCGGAATTGGTACATCATCGATACCTTAAGATCTTCTTACGAGTTACATTAGCTACTTGCATAAATGCATATGTAGATTATATACCATAACGTAAAATGTGTTTTATGGGAGGCTACCTAATTTTTGTTTCCCTTTGATACTTTAAAATAACGCATATAAATATTTATTGAAGAAGACTTCAGTGTGCACATTGTTCTGTAGAACTTTTAAGTCTGTTATTAATTAAGGTAATATATTGCATTAAATAAAATACAATTCAAGTACTTAACAAAGATGCTGTGGCCAAATTTAACGATCTGCATTAGCAAGATAGCTGTTTGAAGTGCCATCACTTTATAGGAATACATATTTAATAAATTATAGTCATTTTGACTGCTTTGGGCAATATAGGTATATACTAAGTTTCAGTCTTTCTAGTATTAAGAATTTCAACGATTTCAAAGCGAGCAATGGCAAAACTGTACGAAAAAAAAATTTTATCTTCACCGCGCGAGACTGTATATCAGAAATTCTAAAGATATGGTCAATTTAAAAGTATTTTGCGATATTGCTGTTGAATTGAATTTTATGGTTTAAGTGCGAATAACATGATATTTAATAAATAAAAGTAATACATAAAGCGTTAAAAAACGCCCCTTTGGGCTTAATATAAAATCTGAAAGCTTTCAGATTTTTTATTTATTTATTTATTTATTTTTTAATTTTCAGGTATATGTCTATCATTCATCCACTGTCGGTGAAAAAGCGCACCCTGCAGTCAGCATCTGCAGCTATGGCGACAGCATGGGGTGTCGCAGTTTTGTTTTCGGTTTTGCCACTTTTGAACATTGAATACTTTGGTGACGAGTTTTATGGTAACAATGGAGTCTGCTTACCTCTGCACATACACGATCCTTTCGGACAGGTAAACAGCACGATGAAAATGCAAATGAAATACTTTATCGTGATCGTTTCATCGTATTATAACTAACGCCATTTTATCTACTCATATTTCAGTCTTGGGAATATTCGACGTTCATCTTCTGTGGTCTCAACTTCGCCGCTTTTTTGTTCATCATGTTTGCCTACATTTCCATGTTCTTTACAATATCTCACTCCAAGATTGGACTGCGATGCACCCAGCAGCAACAAGACCGCAATATAGCGAAGAGATTTGCGTTCATTGTTGCCACCGACTTTCTGTGTTGGGTTCCTATTGTGTTCATAAAAGTCATTGCTATGGGAGGTAAGAACGTGCTTAACGTCTGTGTTTTAAAATGCATACCTGTTAACACGTTATGAAGTCGAATAAAATAATGAATACGTGTTTTGTATATATTGTTGCGTGTGTACGGGTTCGTTATGAATTGAATGCACAAGTGCGATGAAAAAATGAACGAAATTTATTATTATTACAACAAACAAAACAAAATGCTTCAATTTCATCAGATATTCGTACAGTATTACAATATCTCATAGTAGTTATCTTTTAAACTACTCAAACGTTCAACAGAACTAAATTCAAAACAGCTAGAGAGAGCTAATCCGCGAATTCGCTACAGTCAACAAGAAAAGTTTTCTTCTAAAGAAACTCTTAAAACAACAACAAACTGAATTGAGAGGTTTTCCTCCTTTTTATAAGCTTTTTAAATCACGCTCGAGATTGTTCCAGCAGTTTCTCGAAATCAAAGAGAGATATTTATTTATTAAATGTTAAATGCACGTGCTCTTGTATTTTTAATTTTCCGGCTTAACTTTCTTTTAATATTCGTCACGCGCTGCACTGCACGGGGAATAAAACACTTTTATTTATAATTCTACTAACATTAACTACTTAAATACCAAATACGTAACACTATCATATTTCTTTTTTTTTTTTTTTTTTTCCATTTATCATTTGAAGTCAAAACTATTGCTTAACTCTCCTACAATAACAAATCTGAAATATGAGAATAAATGTTTTAATTTTTTTCGGGAGGAATAAATGAAAATTCTATTTCATTAGTGGTGATATTATAATTTTGTTATTACCAACTGAATAAGACTTTTTTATCGTGCGTTCCGAAATCATAGACTTTGGAAATAAAACAAGTTTTACGAATTTATATAGGATAATGACAGAAATAAAACGTAACTGATACTTAACAAGCATTATTAACAGAAATTTGTTTTAAAGCATTAGTTAACGTAAATTACAATGTCTGCCGGTTAATTTTTCGCAAAATATTGAAATTAAAACTAAAATTATGGAAACTAGAAAATATTGTAAAAATTAAATCACCTCTTGCGGAAAACGTTTTTCTTTAATAGGTTGTATGGTCATTTCATACATATAGGCAAGCCTCACATCCTGATTTTATAGACTTAATCAAAATGTTGATCAAGTCTTGTGGAACTGCATACCACTCTTTTAGAAGTGCACTTTTCAGCTCCTGAAGAGTCAAGGGAGAAACTTGGCTCGCTGAAATTCGGCGCCCTAAGGCATCCTCACCTGCTCAGTCGGCTTGTAAGGTGGCTAATCCATTCGAGTGATAATTTTTGTTTGCAAGTAGTCTAACACCACATAAGGTAGATGGAGCCAATTATTGTCATCCATTAGCAAAACCTCTGGGCCAACAGCGCCCCTAAACAGTTTAACTCTGGGTTCCAATACTTCGTCCACATATCTCGGTTACGGAACCCCCTTGAAAGATCTGAAGCTCGGTGCGGCGATTTGTCATGATTCCTAATCAAACCATAAAACCCCGGTCGCGGAAACGGGATGTTCACTGATAAGGGAAGGCAAGTTGCGTGTTCCTTCCTTTCTCTAGGACACGTTAGAATCTTTCTTCAAACTGTATGTGGACTCGTCAGTAAACAATACTCGGGCGCAGTCGTCTTGGCTTCACTGAATATGACGACGGCACCAGTTTAAACCGGCTTCTCCGGAAGCTGTAGTGAGTGAGACAAAAACCATTTGTTTTCTCACCTACAGTGCAACCTCGTTAAGCCTTCGCACAGCTGTATAACGGGTAATTTGAGTTCCTGTGATAGCCTGAAGGTTTACAATCAAATATCTCGTAATCGCTTTGTAGTTTTTTTCGAGCCAACAAGGACAGAAAACGGTCTTCTGATACCAAGTGAAGGGCTACCAAGAGTTGTTACTCTTGGTCGCCTTTCATCAGGCTGTCTGTCAACTAATCTAGGGCTTAAATATCGGCTCCAAATATTTAATATGGCACTTTGAGGGATATTCAAATCTTGGGTGAATTCCCATTTATATTTGACCTCCCTCGATTTTACCAATTATTCGCTACTTTTTACCTTCGTAATATAAAATTTGAAAGCTTTCAGATTTATATTACGAAGGTCAAAAGTGGCGTATTCTATTTGCCTTTCAGCCATAACTACTGAATATGTATCATTGTCAGAAACCACTTTAAACAACACTACAGACCGGAATTCTCAAATGCGTCCATTGCACACTATAATGTTCCAATTTTCAACACATTTGTTAAAATTGTTTACTTATAATGTAGTAATGTGACTGAAATGTACGATTGTAATTATGATGAAAAAGTAGCCTCGGTCGTTACAAGTATTCATCCCCTGATGTCAAATCTACTACCTCACCATAAGTCTTCAGGACAGTCTTTTGGGGTACAAAGATTGTCAGTGAGTGTAATTAAAGTGAATTTTGAAAAACACTCAATTTTAGGTGTTATTTTCTATGCGTTAAAACTGGAATAATCTACAGTACGTATAACATAAATGCACTATACATAGCTGAGAAATCGAATTTCAGGTTAGTAACACAACACATTTGTTAAAATTGTTTACTTATAATGTAGTGATGTGACTGAAATGTACGATTGTAATTATGATGAAAAAGTAGCCTCGGTCGTTACAAGTATTCATCCCCTGATGTCAAATCTACTACCTCACCATAAGTCTTCAGGACAGTCTTTTGGGGTACAAAGATTGTCAGTGAGTGTAATTAAAGTGAATTTTGAAAAACACTCAATTTTAGGTGTTATTTTCTATGCGTTAAAACTGGAATAATCTACAGTACGTATAACATAAATGCACTATACATAGCTGAGAAATCGAATTTCAGGTTAGTAACACAACTTGAACACCTACTGATATAAATTTACTGATGAATTCTCGAAACGTATCATCAAAGCAAATTCATAGTAAAGTGTTCATGCTATCGCAGGCATATTTGCTGCATATCAAATCCCCATTGTTCAGGTCTCCACCTAGGAAAGGTGAAAAAAGTTGGATACGTGAATTAGACATAAGCGTTGTTGCTTATGCTCACTTGTCTGACGTAGTCAGCCCAAGGCCACGAAATTCCTCGTGGTAAGGAGGGCAAGATAACGCCTGTCGTTGGCAATAACTTTGAGCACCTTACAGGTGACAGTGTGATTTGGAGACATGAGTTAACACCAGTAACGAAGGCAAACCATCTGATATTAAGCAGTTTGTTTTTTGTCTGAAGAATAATCAGAAAGTAATTTTATTTTGAATTGCCACAAAGTACAAAAAGTAAGTATAACATGACAGTCATCAAAATTGAGAAATGGATGGATAATGAACGATTAGCATGATGTTCCAAACAAATTGTTCATGTGAGTTACCATAAAAGCAACGACATCGATAAGAGATGTCGTTGCTTTTAGGATGTTTTGTAGCTGGAATAATTCAACCCATCTTCCTAAAGGCTAAACTGCATGAAATGCAATGTCAGCCTGCCCTCAGGCAGAAAAACAATTGCTCATTATTGATGACACACAAAAACTGTGAAGCTCTCAGTGAATTAGCAGTTTGAAATCCTTTTTTACTGGTATATTTTTATGACCCATCTTTCTAATGATACAGTTTCTTCCGCCAACTTGATCTGTTTATGTCCACAAAATATTCACAGATGACAGAGAGGTCCAGTTGACCACTTCTTCGCAGCAGGGCCATCCTTTTGCCAAGAATTCCAGACATTGCCAGAGCGATGACATAAGTCTTTGGACGCCGAAAGAAATTACTTTGACGAATCAAACATCAAACGTTAATTATAAAACTAATGATAATATTTTTGTTTTCATTTACTAAGAATTTGAACGTGACATGACTGGTGAGCATTTCAGTCACACCAATCCAGTTATGTTTATCCAGCACGGTATCCAGTAGTATTTACAATATATATATAATATTAAGTAATACATAAACGAGAAAAAAAAATTCACGAATACTCACATTTCCATAGTCGTGCAAGGAATGAAACAACCACTTTCGAATTTTTCCCTATTTCAATACAGATATACATGAATAGAAAGCTATATTTGTTTACAAATATCATTTTTAATTCCCGATCTTGTTCTTCTTAGTATATTTTCAGATTATAAAGCAAATTTATCCTAAATTTGCATGACAATACTTGAATTCAATGAATAAAATTACTTGGCTTCCTCTCTAAGTATTTTATTTACTTGTGTTGTGACTTAGTTGACTCGTCCGAAGGTAATAACAGATCAACTCCAGGCATTTCGTTACAGCAAGGGTCCGAGATTGCACCTGTCGTTGTCCTGGGCCTTGAACGCCCTAAGGGCAGCAGTATTCATTTTTCCAGTTGGGTCACAACTTTGAAGGCAAATTCTTCGAAGACCAGATTCGAGGGTTTTCTATCACTCTTTCCGTACTCTATCTGACGGTACAGGACTGACTAAAATATGTATATTGTCCAAAATGAATTGAATTTGTATTAAAGTCAAGACTCGGATGAAATATTCAGTATAGCATGATAGCATTATAAAACTTCGAGGTGCTATATTGTAATTTTACAGTTGTTTACAGCTCGTGTTGTTCATTTCTTAGTATAATTTTTATGTCTAACTTCTTACAGGTGTTCCTATTCAAGAAGATTTATACGCTTGGGTGGCTGTGTTTCTGCTACCTGTGAATTCTGCCATCAATCCTATTCTTTACACATTGACTACAAAACTCTTTAAGCAGCATTTGGCCAAGATGGTGTACAATTTTAAAGCCTCGACAGCAGGATCTGGCGATAGTGTAACGCCGTCTTGTGCCAGAAATCACAGTTTGAGGAGCCACAAAGGTTCCTTTTCCCAGGTAAAAAAAAAATAATTTTATATGTTACCGTCAATGAATGAAACACCGGCATTCTATAGAATGCTTAGGCATTTTATAGAATGCCTGGCGTTTTTAGGCAAAGTATGAAATTTGAAAATGTGTTTAGTTTTGTTTTCTACAAACATCACATCCAAGCGATTCAGCAACCAAAAGTCCCATGGTCCCTTCTTAGTAGTCATTTTGACATTTTTAGCATCACTTATTAACTTTTGGTAAGAAATGTCGGCACAATTTCGGTATAAATGTGAGTTTGGGTTATTCACAACGAATCGGAGTTTCATACTTTACCGGTTTGTCGTTTGGTATTCTTTAGAATGCCTAGGCTATGCGTGAAATGTTTAAACGGTAATGTATGGACGGCAATGTATGAAAATCCGTTCAGTTTTCGGCAACCTATAGAATGCCTAGGTATTCTATAGAATCCCGGATTTCATACTTTGCCCCTAACATATACATTATTTATACTTGAATTGAAAATTGAAGGATAATTATAAAATTGATTCTGATAATAAAAAATTGATATTACGTTTTGATTTCATTATTAACTCTCGATTATTTACTTCATTTCGTAGTATACTGCACGATTTTAATAATTTATCATCTTAATTTGAAATCTTTAAACATTTCTTTATATATTCGAAAATTAAAAGTTTATTAGTGAACTAACGGGCAAGCCCGCTAAAGGAGCGGGCTCCGGCCAAAGCAAAATTTCTATGTACACCTGAAAACAAAATGTATAAAAACATTTCAATATGAATAAAATCGGTTCAGTCTTTTCCAAGCAACAATCAATTCGTAAAAAGTGTTTCCTTGCCATACCAGGAAACAAAAACTTTTGACACTTTAGGTTAATACTTATTCGTATGACGTCATGATTTAAATTTAATGAAAGTTTTTTCAATAGCAATAAAAGAATTAACGTGGCAATAACGTATCTGGTCAATTACCCTAACCTGAAACAAAAACGTTGCCAACAGCAGCTATTTATTTAAAATGTTGACCATTAACGAACACTTTTCGCTGTACAATGACGTCGCATGCAATCACGTTCTTTCTTCAAGTCGAATATGACTAATTATAGAATATTTAATGATTGGCGGTGCTATTTCTATTTCGTATTTCGTAACACTTATAAATTTTTTTAACAAACTCTACGATTTGAAAGCGAGCAGCGGCAATACTTTTACAAATTTTTATCTCCAGCGTGCAAGACTTACCAGTCTGAAAAATGAAGGCAAAAAATAGCGTTTTCCGAGTTTTAAATTAATACCCTGGCTGATTACGTAGAAGTCTTACGAAGATGTGAACAGTCGAAATGGCTTCCCACGAATTTTTGGAATCCCGGGATACCTCTCTCGAAACTCAACTCCCTCCTCCCCGTTTCGAAGGAGACGATATCACAAAAAAACGAACAGACAGACGCACACAGATTTTAATAGTATAGAAGATTCTTTGAATTAGATTAAAATTTTGTTACTTAGATATTTGGAGGTTTATTTCGAGCAATGTTCTGCAGGCATCAGAATATGTGGTACACCGAGCAGGCTTAGAACTGGAGAGAACCGTAATAGTAAACATGCAGGAGGTTAAAATTATATACTAGAAGTGTTGTTTGTATCTGTACTATGTAGTCGTTTCATTTTGTAAGCATTAAAGATTTCTTTTGGTGTTTACGCTAATACGTATTTCGTACGAAGCTAAATCTACAGAGATTAAACTATCAGTTTATTATTCATTACCTAAATAAATATAAATTTTTAAAGTCTTTCAGTTTCATATGTTTATTCTTACCTATATCATTATGCTTTTTTTTGCCCGCAAAACATAAACTTTTATCCTAATAAGAAATTTAAGTACGAACTCATTAATTTTCGTATTATATTAAGAAATATTTAATTATTTTTCATCTATGTAAATTGTAAAAAATATGTTAAATTTTTAAGTTAGCGTGCTTAATTTTTAAGCATATTAAGTAACATTATGAAATATAAAGCAAATTATTATGTAGAACTAATAATTAGGTTTTCAGTAATTATTTCGCATTTCACTTGATCCTTCCTTTTTCTTTTGGTAAAACAAGGATTATTTGTTTAATACTTAATGAAAGTATTATTGAAAGTATTTTTAAAATTAAACATTTAATTGCTAATTATGCACCGTTAACGGAGATCCGGTTTCTTGTTTTGCCCTTAATCTAGTAGCGTTTTCTTTCACATCAAACTTACAGAAAAATTCCAGCTTCATTAAAGATTTTTTACTGTAATATCTTTAATTTGAATTTTAAAAACCCGCTGCTTGTAAACTGCTGTTATTGTTTCCAAAAATACCGAATAAGTAGTTTTCAAATCCAAGCATAATTGTCAATAATGATTCAGATCTTATCAAAAGAATATAAGAAAATTTATTTTATAAATATAATAAAATGTATTTTTCTAAAATCATGCACATTAAAATAGATTTTAATATGTTTTCAGATGTGCATTAAAATTAGAAGAGAAATAATTATGTAATTGCTTAAAGTCATATTTCGATATAGTTGATTTATTATTCTACCGGTTCTGTGAATTAGTTTAGGCACTACCGGTTTGGGTTATCATCTCGGCCGTTGCTTTTCTAAGCCGCCTTTCTAAGTTTTTCTCTATAGTTTTTCTTTGTCCTAGACATTTGTCCATCCAAACTAAAATTACAAGATTCCTAATTAACCTAATGTTGTTAGTAATTATCTTATCATCTGTTAGCAAACTATACAGGTTCGTATGACGCAGCCTAAGCAGTCTTTCCCAGACTTGTCACCTGTTACATTACTCTTCGTCCACTGACTCAATGAATTGGACATGATTGGTTTGTGCCGTGATGGCTTTAATCATTTTTATGTAGTACAAGTCGGTAAAAAGTGCATTTAGTGCAATATTCCTGGCGTTCAGAATGTGCCTTAGGGCTGCTGTGCGTGGCAGTAAAGAATGTAATGTAGGGCATTTGCCTCCTTTCCCTTCGCCCCTCAGGCGCAAGTAGCATTTCTTCTAAGGAACCTAACGTAATATCCCGGAAACTTGTCGTGACCAGAGTAAGCTTGTAACAAGAAGCAGTAACATACGATCCTTTGGGAAGATCTCGAACGTAAAACGTATTGTATTGCCTTCGTTTAAGGGGACTCATACACCTTAAAACCCATAAGATCATCGAATATGTGACTGTTGCAAGAATTGGGATATTTTATTTATTGTAAAAGCAATTACTTCCATCTTTTCATAGCTGACTACATAATATAGCTGCTTTCTGAAATAGAAACCAGAAAGTTTGTGTTGCCACAAATATTTTTATAATTTAATTCGCTTTGTGACAACATTTTTCGTCATGTTTCCACCTTGCGGGGACAGTTTAAACATTCTGCTGCATAATTTAATTTCATATTTAATATATAGCTTTTAAAACATTTGGAAACTGCTGTGAACTAAAAATTCTAAGAATTTCATGTTAAATTTTTATTTTATTTGGAAGTGAGTTTATAAAATGTATTTTATTAAAAAATCTGTAATATTTTCGTCCATACAATTTTTTAATATTAAAATATACATCAGATTTTTGGTTCAGTTAAAAAATAGTGCCCATAAAAAGAATTCCATCCAATTTCATGAATGTACCGTTGCCCATTTATAAAATATCATGCGCGCAAGGTGGAAACATGACGAAAATTTTTGTCACAAAGCGGATTAAATTACAAAAATATTTGTGGCAACGCAAACTTTCTGGTTACTAGTTCCCAAAGCAGCTATATTATGTAGTCAACTGTAAAAAGATGGAAGTAATTGCTTTTACAATAAATAAAATATCCCAATTCTTGCAACAATCACATATTCGATGATCATAAGGTGTTTAAGGTGTATGAGCCCCCTTAAGTTGTCCTGCCATATTTGTAAGAAAGTATATTTTATGAGCTTTTTGGCTACGTCTCCGAGGCTCGAACTTCTATGCACATGGTCAGCTTGCCTAGCTCTACTGGTTGCCAGCTTGTCTAACTCGCCAGCTTGCTGATTACCTGTTATCCCGGTGTAACTCCGCACCCAAGTTATGCTGACGGGGCAACGTTGCTCTTTAGAGCAGCAAATACATAATTCCCTTAGTGTGTCTATTTGAGCAGCCCTGGCGCTTCTTTTATTAAGTACTTGTAAGACACAGCGGCTGTCTGCAAGAAGTGAAATTCGTTTCCTCTTACTGTTTTCACACACGTAGCTGCTTTGCGGAGCGTGTAGGACTCCACTTAGAAGACAGATGTGTAGTTGCTCAATTTGTAGCATCCGTGATAGCAATCTACATTGTTTCTTTGTGCTACGAATGTGGCTTCCTCTTCGTCTTGCAGAATTTTAGGTGTTTTGAACCAGGAGGATTCAGGCAACTGAGGATTATGCGACCCAATCGACAAATCCTGGTGGTGAAGATTCATCTTCCCCCACCTTTTATTTCGGGCGCTAGTGTAGATAAGTTAAGTATTTTTTATGCTAGACACATGAAAAATTAGCAATGCACTCGCCGGGACTCGAAATATGAATGCGCCTCTAGAATACTCATCGAGTGTGCTACTGTTAAACCACGAAGTTACGCAGAAAGGAGGGAGAGAATACCGTATCGTATTTAGTTTCTTTGAGCGGCCACTCGATTCGCCAAGAAATATTGTTTAATCCGGCAAGAATCAAATGCCAATTCACAGCCATTTGATTATTGCCGGGTTTAAACTTTATTGTTTGGGTCTTGGGAAACATTATCAACTGTGTTTTGGGCAGGCTAAAGTTTATACTTATGATTTCTTGTTTTAGTAAGAGTCAGGTTTATAATAAGAGTAAAGTCGTTGGCGTAGGCCTCTATTGTTGCGGTTTCTCCGAAATCTAAGTTCATGGATGTGTCCACGATTATATTCCACATAAGTGGTCCTATATTTGAGCCCTGGGGCGCTCTTTTCTAACAGTTCTCGGTAATGTTAACTCTGTCTCATTTGTAGGTGATTTTTCTATTATGAGGATAGCTAGCAATAGTTCTAAGCAAGTTTGGCAGGCAGTTTAGATCCTTCAACTGTGCTTTGAGCAGCAACCACCATAAGTGATTGAAGGGGCCGACACCAAATCTAATGTGGTGACACAACAATGCAAGTTATTGCCCTTGTTTTCTAAGGATGATGTCCTGAATGTAATTTAAGGCGTCTACTATTTCTTTTCCTTTGGTGAAGCCGAATTGGGCTGGGTTTAGAAGTTCATTGTGTTCCAAGTCAGTAAGCCTTTCGGTTAAAACTTAGCCCCAAGCCGACAGTAAGCCAAATGGGCCTGCATATAGCCTGCTTGATTTTGTTTTTCTCCCTCTTAATGAAAATGTATCAGTTTTATATTTTTCCAAAGTTTCTGGGAAATAGCAATTTATTAAGAGTAAGAGTTGGTCTTCGTTTGCTGTTTTAAATTCTTCGACTGAATCTATGATAAAGTTGTCTAGTCCTTGAGTCTTCTCTCTCTTGATTGAGATTTGTGTGTCGTAGCTCCAGTCTAGAAAATGTACTTCGCCGATGGTGTCGGACGGGTTGTTGGAATAACTTCGAATATCTTGTTGGCGGTGCCGAATCATCTGTAGCGTCATCTTGCGTATAGTTAATAATCTCTGTGATCATATTTTCCGCTGTACTTGTTTTTGTTCCATCTTCCTTAATAATGCAAGGGAGCTCGAGTGGTCCCATGCTCTTGCCCATTGACATATCAAAATAGATTCGAAAAAGGGAGTTATTGGTAATCCTATGCCAGAAGATGTCTTAGGTGTTCCACTTCGTCACTTCTATTTTTTATTTAGCTTTGTTTATCTTTTTTTCGTTTCTTTGGATTCTCTTCCTATAGGTTGTGACACCTTTTCGAAGTTGTTCGATTTCCGAAGTCCACCACGAGCGAAGATTTTACAAAAAAGCCTTTATTAACCTATATTTTATAAAATTTGTTTGTTTTGTAGAAAATGCGTCATTAGTAATTATTTTTGATCGAAGAGAAACAAAAGTTTAATTCTTTCAATAAAATTTTCAAAACTTATAAAACATAGCAACTAATTTTTAGTTACTTCCAGTTTTTTCTGTGCACGTATCGATAATTTTAGGCATGATTACAGAGAGAACCTATTTTTATTAAATGTGGAAATTATGCGTTTTCTTACTTTGAATAGGTTTTAGGCAAAGTATACCTAAATATAGGAAAAAAATATTTTGAATTAAACAAAAAAAAAGTTGCGTAGTTTTTTTTTTTTTTTTTTTTTTTCGCAAACTCTAAGATGTTCTATGATTCTGAATGAACGTCCCATGTAATGCCGTTGTCCAATCTATTAGTATTTTAACACTTTAATAGAAGTGTGTTAACCATCATTGGTTACTGAATCAAATGCACCTAATTTTAATGCAGCTATCGTGATTCTATCGACATGATTATCTTTCACTATGCTTACATTAAGACGAATTGATAAACCATAACAAGTCTGAATTCGAAGAATTTCAGCAGCATCCAGTCGATCTCGTCTAGATATTCGTTTATGTCAACATGTTTATCACATCAATCAGCTTATCATGGAAATATGAGCATTGGCATCGATAAAGCCTAAAATAAACATTTCTCGTTGAAAATAAACATGGTTGCAGGTATGTCCCTTTAGATAAAAGGGTGTGGCAGAGTTTGTTTACATTCAAATGCTATATTTTGAATTTTTAGTTTTTGCAAACTTTTAAAAGTTGGTAATATGTTTTTCTATGAATCACTTCGCTAAAATTATGCACAACGCTCAACTACTATTCTTTGTTAACAGTTTCACCAATTGTTGCACAACATGATATATGACGCGCAACACCACAAAAGTCATAGAAAACATTTCACATTACTTTGATTTTTGACAACTTTGATATCAAAACCTAACTTGAAACCAAGCACGTAAACAAGATGTTTCGGTCTTGCTTTACTTTTCCAACGGCATTCACTTAGATTGCCGGGTGGCTTTTGTAACCAAGAATCATAGATACATGTTACGTGATTGGTTATAATGCATTTCCAGGACTTGCCTTGGAAAAATCATCTTTTGTGTATTATAATACGTTTCTGTTTGTGGAAAACATTCAGCTTGGTTGGAACAACATGGAAAGATATGGGAGTAAGATCAAATGACCTCCAAATGACCTTGATTGACAGCATCTAGATAATTGTAAGGCATTTGCATAACAATATCCGTAATTTAGGTTAAAATAACACGCCGAATAATGATCATTGGAGAAGTCAAACTACAAGAATCAGTGTAATATCTGTAAATTTTTCAAGATTAATTTAGATGGTTTATCTACAGAAGCAGCTTTCTCAGATGCCCAAGTACAAATGAAAGAGATAAGATGAGATATCTCAGCTGTCTAAATACAATTGAATGAAATAAAATGCGATATCTCATCTTTGCACTTAGACAACTGAGGAAGATGGTTCTATAGTTTAACCATCGACTGGGCCCCCTGTGCGGCCATGTATCCTACTTATGTATGTTTATATAAACTCCTAGTGGCTGCTTGGGGTGGTGGGCTGGCAAGGTTTCGGCGCTGGGTGCGAGATGCCTATGTGCCCCCCTTCCCTTCATTAACATCCAAGGTTGGTTTAGATGAGGGTGACGTCGCGCTATACCAATTCACCAATATGGTAGAGGGATGGTGACCACGTCCTCCGTCACTCACTTCATTGATCAAGTGGATATAACTTCTGATAACTAGTAATTTGTCCTTTAGGTTCGAATTTAGGTGAACGGGTTGGCTTATGATTGGTTTACCTTACATGTGCCGTAAATATTATCCTGTGTTCTGTATATAGCCTACCATTAAGGCATCCTCCCTGTCGTCGTCATTTTCACGTAACTTAGACTGTCTCGGTGCTAACTGATCGTAGTAATGAAGTCTCTATTTTAATTCTGTAAATTACACAAAAATGTATTCTGAATTCGGGGGGGAGGGCGATCGTAAGCCTTTTGCAACATGAAATTATTGAAATTCTCATTTGTAAAACGTTTTATTTAATATCGATATATAAGATAATTTGTTATTTTTTGTTTGTTTGTGTAATAGGCGGATCACAACAATATAGCTCTGGTGATGAACAGGGGCTGTCCAGAATGTCGTCACCCAAATGTTTCCAGGAACAAGAGCTCTGCGCACATAGAATGCAGGCGGAATTCGAGCAAGCGCCGCACCTCGACAACCAATGTCGTCTGAAAACAAACATTGCCACGAACTGGCGAACAGTCACAGTTTGTATATAAGTCATTGTAAAGTTTAAATGAATATGTTATTGATGTTGTTAATAATAAATTTTATCGTCCAAAGCGTGATATTTATTTTTACACAGCCAATACTATGAAATATATTCCAGAAATCGTTAATAAAACTAGTAAAAGTTAATATTAATTTTTAAATGTTGCTGGTTTTAGTTTGTGATGTTGCGTGGCCCCAACTTGCCCGCAACAGTAGTAGTGACTGCTATGAACTGGAAATTACACAAACTCTTAAGAAGGGTTTAACTCCCTTTTTATTCCACTTTAGAAGTTACAGATGCGTTCACTTGACGCTCACAAACTACGCCGAACCGGCGGTTAAATAAAAATAGAAAAAGTACAACTAAAAATAAATAACAGGATGACTAAATAACGATGTCACTACCTACGAGGCTCTATAAACGTCACTAACTTAACCGCGTTCTAAGATACAGCTGAGATTTCAGCAAATTTTTTGAATAAGAAGTTGAAAGATTCAATTAAAGTAGGCACACAGGCCGAAACGCGCGGTTCTTAAATTTCTACCTAGCAACCTTCACGCTCGTGAAACAAGAAAGCACACCTACAAACTCGTTTCCCTTCTATTTAACTCAAAATACTTCTGCTAAAAATTTGAATACTCTGCGTGTTCTACTAAAATTTACATACTCAGGCATTGGCAATTCCAAGGGAAAGTAAAGGCTAGGAAAGATAGCTTAAAATAAATGTTAGTTAAAATAAATATAAACCCTACAAGTTATTACAAAAAATCATGGATATTGAACAAATTAAAGGCACATTGGATTTAATAATTTTTATATTTAGTTTGTATATGTATTTTTTTATACATAGTTGCATGTATTATATATATATATAAAGAAAAAATATTGTCCGTATTTACATATTTAAGTGTAGCTCTATTGGTTTGAATGTTTCTCAGTTTGAACGATCATAAGTAGCTTATTACTGTAATGCAGATTTTAAACTGTTTCACTACTTTTTCTTAAAATTTACTTTGCATCTCCAATTGTTATGTATTCCAGGTTTTTCAACGAATCCATCTAGCAGTGTCAGCTAAAGTAAAAAGAGAGAAAACTTTCTTGATATAACGCACATTATTGTTAATTTAAATAGAAATATTAAGTCTCTCCTTTTTTTGTTGCTTTTATAAAAGCAGTTAAGGACTGTTAGAAAATTAATTGCATTTTCTTCATATTCCATTAAATCTACCGAAAATATTTTGTTAAGCCGAGCTTAAGGCTTAAAGCATTTTACATTATTTCTTATACAATTCTTTCATTAGATACAGAAATAAAAATCATTACATTAAACTTGTCAAACATTAAATTTCAGAGATGTACACCATATAACTTTATTGGTGTTTTGTGATTGTGACTAATCTAACCAAAGTCCACGAAATTCATACTTGCAAAGTGTCAAGATTGTGCCTGTCGTTGGCCTTGGGCACCACACAGGAGAAAATATAACTTTGCGCAAGTCCCCCTCCAATTTTGAGGGACAACACCCCAGGAGAATGAGTCCGAGGGTCTCGCACCTCTCTTCACCTACCAACAACCTCTAGAGAGGACTTACGACTCGCCGCATATTGAAAGTGGCCCTATGTTTGAACAGACACTATACATTGACGGACATCTATGCCTTCTCCGGGATACGAAACCGGGCCCTTCGGTACGATAGTCAGGGTTATTAACTATACCGGTTGGGCGACTTATTCGTGTTTTGTAATTGGTGGACTGATGATACTTAAGCAGAAACTGTATATGAAGTGAAGTTTAAAGTATCAAGTGGAAAGAGCATCACGAATATGAACACATGCAATTTACATACAGTATACACTTGTATACTTTATTACTATGTACACTGCTAAAAAAAGGGGGGGACAGTTCTATATCTCTCGTTCGCATATTTCACAAGTGCACATCTGTGTAGCCACCGAGGAAGTGGCTTCTAAGAGGGACCAATGGGCATCCAGTAATATTTCTATCATGTTACATAACCGTTCGCGTGCTTTAAGATTTAAGCAAGATGGTTGAAAATATTTTGACATGCAATTTTCTGTACAATATAATTAAAGGATCACCGACTTCTGAAAATTTTCATTGCGAAGTTGGATCAAATATAAGCAACTGTGAGGATTTTACTATCTGGTTGAAAGAATTTGAAATAAATACAAACACAAGTTGGATACTCCGCAAAAATATCCATGTGAAATATTACTTAATAAGGGTAAATAAGATGAAGAAATAAACGTGTGATAAGCATCTGAGCCCAGATGCTATCTTCACATAAAACTATGCACATGAGAAAAATATTTACACCAATTATATATGTAAATAGAAATCAGGACTTTCTATTGCAGTCTATATGAAAAAGATGTTCTATAATAATAGTCAATGCAGAATTTTATTCAAAGTGAACTTTACTAATTTGCATTTGTATACATTTAGTGTGTTAAATTTAACATTTAATAACTGTTCACTCTTAAATGTACCGTCTACATAAGAAATACTCATCAAACAGAGTGAACTTATCTTATTCACAACAAATATATTCATTTTATTAACATATAACTTTTAATGTTAACAGTGGATATAATCAGATCATACACAATATGTATTCTGAATCTTACACTTTAAAAGTCAAAAGAATGCAAGCACTGAAATAAGAATACACTATATTCATTGTAACACTTCCAGTCCTTCTCAGCTCAGTTAAAAAAATATATACACTTGAATTCTCTTAACCCTTTCCTCCAAGCTACCTTTTAAAGTTGGAAATTTTTGATTAAAAGTAAGGTAGGCAGTCTAACTAGGCCTAGAGCAGTACACAAGTAAAATTTTGTGAAGATAGCACTTATCGTTTTAATTCTGTGGGTGTGCCCAAAGTGGGCACACTGATTGAATAGAGCTTCGAAAAAAGTGCTGAAACGAGCATTATTGTTAATGAACTGACCGATGAGATGCGGAGAAACAAAGAATACAGACTCTCAGTTGTCCTAGATGATCGATGACCCCGGTCTAGGCACACCTAGGGTTCGCCGCTTGATTTTAAGCAAGATTTCAAGGTAAAAAATTTAAAACTAATATAGAGTAAGGAGATTAGCATACAGCCAAAAAAATAACATAGAAATTTCTTTCCAAACAATTCCTTTTATACCCTAAAAAATCTGGAAGATTTCTTTGAAAAAATGAAGGTTTTAAAAACTAAACATGGCTAAAATATATGGACTGACTTGTGTTGAGCTGCCATCTACTATAAATAAAGAAGGTTCAGAGTAACTTATAAATCCTTTTTTCATTCAATTTTTCTGTGTGTACAGAAGGAAATTTTTAGGTGTGTCCAGAAAGGACACACTGTGCCGCAAAGGGTTAATCCACAGGTGGTAGTAAATGCATAATACTTGAGGCTAATTGTAGCTTCAGTCATTTTCTCGATGTAAAGAGTGATAATATGCCGTAAACACCAATCCAAATATTAATGCGTGATAAAAGAAGGAAAGGAAAGAACTACGAGATTTTCTACTATTACGCCATATATTTATAACTGCGAAACAAATACAAATTAAAACGTAAACAACATACGTTCACATGCACGAAGGTTAAGCGTCACAAGAGCAATAGAAGCTCATTCGTCCATTTTCGAAACCCCTCCCTCAGTGGCTACGCTGATGTGCACTTGTGAAATATGCCTCCCGTTCTACTTGGCCAATTCACGAACTTCAACTTGCGTTTTTTATGTCTCGAAAGCGCGACTGAGGATATGTATTAGATTTATCGTTCTAATATAGAAATGTCGACACAAAATCGGACTTTTTCTGACATAACATGCCAATGTTTTTCCATAATTCAATTCTATGATACAAATTATGCCAAACTGCCAAGTTTTGTAAAAATTGCACGAGTGTTTTTTAAAAAATGAGCTCTCAAAGTTTTAGCTCCTCAATGTTAATTGAGTTTGGTATATATTTAAATAATCTCTCTTTTTTTATTATACTTATTTGATTCTTCCTTTCCCATTTCGAAATTCAGGTTCATTCCAAATAAAATTCATTTTTTATGATTTACTTTTAAAATTTGTATTTTTAAATAATTTTTATAAATTTTTCAAAAAATATTTTGAATTATAATCTATAAAATATTTACCATCATCTTAAAGTAGACGTATTTCTATGCATATTTGCAAAAATGACAGTTTTTTATTCAAAATTTTCGAAGATATACGTGAATTTATATATTTCCGCGCTTTGAAATTTGGCAGATTTTTTGAAACCTAATCAAGTGTGGTTTAGACAATTTGCTAAAATTATTTGAAAGTAGGAAAGAAGTAACTTTTTTCCTGCTTATGCACAATGTAAAAAGGTAGGAACGATGTGCATTTTTTCCGCTTCGGCATAATGGGAAGGGAAAGGAAAATTGGTTGCTATATATTAAGATGTTCGCCATAAAATTGCGCCAAGATAATTTTTTGAAGTTCTCCGTAAATTTCGCGCCAAATTTTCCAAAATTTAATGTATAGGCATAATTTGAATCGTAAAATCGAAATATGGAAAAAAATTGACATGCTATTTCAGAAAAAGGTCCGATTTTGTGTCAAAATACCTATCCCCCTTTTTTATGTCCCCCCTTTTTTTACGCAGTGTACATCTTACGTCTGTGTTTACAAGCTATGTACCAGGAGCTCAAAATGTAACATAAAAATAAAATATAATCTCATTTTTCATGAATAATTTCTGAATATTTTTCCACGTCTAAGATCATAAAAATTCTTTTAATAGTTCATTTTTCATAATGGCAAGAATTTAACTGCGCTTCAGTAAATGCCCGAAATATCTTAAATTCTCAGGCCTTGATCTGGAAAATACTTAATCACATCAAACAATTATTTTCGTCTTATAAAGAAATTGCAATATCTTTGATTATGTGTTGATGAATTATGTATTGAAACGTTATCAATGGTTTGTCCCATATTTGTTCCTGTTAGAGTACCAAGATATTTTCCACGCTTAGAGAAGAGATATCACAGCAAAATACTATTAAATTATTGAATTTAGT